CCACGCCTTCATTACACTATCTATGATAAGAACACGCCTTCTCCTTACCCCCACCCTCATAAATCCAATCCTCCATTACCCCCACCATCGCGAAACCACGCCCACTATGACACGCCCCTCCACAATTCAGGTGGGTGGGTGAGGGGGTGAGGCGGGGGGGAACCAGAAACCCCAATATTACCCTACTATCAACTTATCGTTTTTAAAGTGTATAATATTCATTTACATAGACTTTATATCATACTTCAAATATTGTACATATATTGTGTTAGGAACGAGCTGTATCAAATTTTAGTTTTTTTTAATTTAATTTTTACCATTGTTTATTAATATTTCTTTCATTATTTATCAAGTATAGTTTTAAAATAACGCATTCAATCATAGTTACAGTTTTATTGATTATTCAACAACATGTAATATTTTTTTATAAATCCATACTTTATTATTATCATTTTAAAGTATACAATATTCATTTACATAAACTTTATATCGTAACTCGAAGTTTNGCATAAACTTTATATCATAACTCGAAGTTTGATCTTCTCGTCCGTTAGAAACAAGCTTCAGATTTTCGTCAAATCCTTTTGCCAAATCTTCTCGAGTAAATTGAAACCTAGACGGTAGATAAACTTGAAAAGAGGGTTCGTCATCTAGTTTCACTTCAGCTACCGGTGTTTGAGTGGAATATTTCGATTTTACGACGAATAGACCCAAAACCTTATATTGAACACCAACTTTAAGATCAGATACACACTTCCTACGTTTATTTTGCATACCATTTAACCATTCTTTATTAACTACACTCATCTAAAAATCATTGATTTAATTATAACAAAAATCACAGTAATAGGCTAATGTAAATAGTTATTAGTATCATTTAATTATCATAATAAAAATAAAAATGTCATTTATAAGAAAATATATTTTAGTTGTTTTATAATAAATTTGAAAAATCTTTAAAAACTAACATTAAACGTTATTAACATTAGCAAAAGTTATCATATCAATAACAGTATACGTTTGTTCAGCACAACTAAAATTAAAATTTTGAAAAACTTACNTATTACCAAAAGTTATCATATCAATAACAGTATACGTTTGTTCAGCACAACTAAAATTAAAATTTTGAAAAACTTACTTTTTTTTACTATTGGTTGTTTTTGAAGTATGTTTAACTCTAATTGTAAAACAATTTTTGCACTTAAGTTTTAACTATAACTTAACAGTTGACAAACAAAAGAAATATACTGAAATTACTCGAAAATCAGTGTATTTATTCTCACGTCATGACAATAAACTTATGTCATAGAAGAGGGAGGAGGCACTGATCTCGAAAATTATCGAGAGAAATGGTAATTTAAGTAATGTTAAAATGAGGCGGTAAAATATGTTATCAAAATATAAAATGAGGCGCTAAAATACGTTTTATCAAATAGCTTCATTGATAAGCATTACATACACATAATGCGATAACAAGTAAATGAGGCGCTAAAATATATAAATAGCGCTAAAATAAAGTATATGGGGAGAGGCGGCCCCATATACACACATTACATTATATTAAAAAATTTAGTTGTAATGCACACTTTTAAACATGTTAGGTATATTTAATATATTGTCACATGTATGCTTGAGAACTCAATATCAGATTGTAATTTGTTACTAGTTTATAAGTCTATTAATCTACTTGATTTTTGATTGTATGATTGGGTTGAAACAATAGTTTAGTAATCATTTTGTAAATGCATGTTGTTTCTAGTGTACGTATCAACTATTTCACTTGTAATCATAAAGTAACCTTGTTGTCATAAATGTAGTTATTTACCTAGTTGTTGTCAAAAAGAAAATTATTTACTTGTAAGNGTTGTTGTCAATAAGAAAATTATTTACTTGTAAGCATAGAATTAAAAATCATATCTTTAGTTAACTTCTAGCTGTTGTCATTTAAATTTACCCTCTATACAGTCCACTAAGAACATACAAAATAAATTTGGTAATTGCATCAGTACCACATATTGGTTCTACTTTTAAAAGTTCACTCAGCATTGACTTCGCTCAAACAATTAAACTTAAATGTTCAACTAGTCTGTCGGTTAATGTAGTGCGCTTACAGTCAGTAATACATGTCGTTAGAGTATTTTGAAATTTAAAATAAACAAAACACCATTAAAATATAACTATAACATCTTAGTAAACTAGTAATAGTAATATATAATATAATAGTAAACTATTAACACAGATAAAAAAAATGTTTACGACACTGACAAACAACAATTGTCTCTAACACAAAACTTTAGCTACTAATTAAGTATAATTAATTATAAATGAATTGTATTTATAAAAATATAAACCATTACCAATATTTTAACTTTCTTTTTAATTCTCATTTTACTTTTATTTGTTATTACAGAGTTGATAATTACTTGGTAATACAAATACTAATGCTATTAGGTGATATGTATCATAAAGTTATCTTAATGGTAATTTTTGAATCCATTAATGTATATTCAAGGTATATAAAACGGTTTAATAGATGTTTTAATTGAAAAAAAAAACAATAAATACTCGCAGTGATAAAAATATTAAAGGTTAATATTTATACAATAGGTTATACCCAATAAGAGTACTAGTAATAATTATTTCACTAATACTTAATATTCTTATTATAAGAAAAAAGTATGAAAACAATGTTATATTATTAAGAGAAAAAAAATTTAATGTCCAGTCACAATATTTAATAGCATTGATCAAGATAAGTCGCTGATTTTTTCGGCTAGATATCCCAACTTCTTTTTACACTGACGACAACGTTTTAATGTTCTGATTAAAGGGAATGTCATAGGCTATAAAAAAAAGAAAATAATTAGCTCATTTTTAATAAAAAGTGAAATAAAATATATATTTAAATTTTGAAAAAATAAGTTAGCTTGGTAAATACAGGTATTTAACATAATTATTAAAGCATTACCTGGCAATGGATAATATAATCTGAAATGCCATACCCCAAATAGTTTATTTCTGAGTACATTATGAGAAACCCCTAAAAATGGAGTATTATCTAGTAGTTAATAATCGACTTGAAAATGGCGGATGTGGTTAATGAAGGCAGATGATACTAGTTAACGATAGAATCTTTTATCAAATACTGATAGTTAAAGATATTCAGACACCTGTTGATCAGTGAATATTGTGAGGATTCGGTTCGGGAAATTGATTCTTTTGGGTGAGTTAGAAGCAGTCTAAAAGTAGTTAATAACAATATTAATATTAGTTCAACCGCAGAGATTATACGTTGATATATAGACAACAGTGGATTAAAACTACAAAATAACAAACTCAGAAAGCTTTAAGCACCAAAGAGTATTATCACAACGTCACAAAATGGAAACGTGTAGTTCGATAAAATAGTCGCTTACTAATCATCTATTATTCAAAGGTACTACTTCCTCCCTGACGAACTCGACTAGATCAGAAAGATGTAAGCACTAAAAATATTTAATCTTATTTGTTTTTCTATTGGAAACTGATAAATATCTTCCATCGTGAAATATAAATCCGAATCCTGATAGTTTATACATTGTAATGTTACAAAAATTAATACCGATACGACTTACGTCGCAAAAAAGTAGTTGACACTGGTTTTGAAGTTAAAGACCTGTGGGCTATTTATTAATGAGCAACAACAGGTTATTTAAAAAAAAGAAACAAACCAAAAAAACGAACATAGTTAATAATAATATTCGCATAATTTAGAGGCACTTTCAGTGGCGTCGGCGACACGCTGTCCTGCATGATCCTCGGCATCAAAAGTTACCAGCGTTGATGGCGTGTGCGGGTGCGGATCAGTTCAACAAGTCCGGTCATGCGGCACATTCAGAGCCAGTGGTTTACATTCTCGATGTCGTCACTTTGACAGCGGGAAGAAGTCTCAACGTATCGTTTATGGCGGGTCAACGTCGGCTGTGTGGCATTTGTTGAACTTTGCACCGTGGCGTATGGTACGCAGTGTAGGTCAGTCAAATATTTATAGTAGGGCGATGGCTGATAAAGGAGATACGAGTTGCCTGATAATGTGTATCACGAAGCGACGTGGGACCGTGTCAGTACAAGTTAAATTTATCATCGTAACATTAGTTGGTCATATGTGCAATAGGTATTTAGTATGACCCTAGTCATCATATTAATTAGTATACAAATCAGCCGGTCCAGTGGTCAGTACTCTGTTTGTTGAATCAACTGATCACATCCAGTGCACACCACCACAAAAAAACGAATTCTTTCACACTAAATAGTAGTTATAGGTATGTAACATTTTCTATGAACATTTTTATGAATAAAAAGTTTTCTTCTGTCCTTTTCTTAATACATATTTCAATGTTTGATATCATGAAAAAAAAAATCAAATTTTGACAAACTGTGTCTGTAGGAAATTTACTGCTGAACATTAATAAGATATGCCTTTATTTATTACGTATCCACGACTTTTCATTAATTTTTTGTGACTTTGAGTTTAATATTTTTTAGTTTTTTTTATTAATAATATTTTTAATATAGTTTTAATTTTACTTAATTCCTTTATTGCCCACTTGCACGAATTTTTTTATACAGATTCAAAATTATTTTATAAAAAATTGTTTTTTTCGGACCCTTTATAAAGAAATTTCACTTTTTCAAAAAAAAATTTCCGAAAACTGCGTCTATTAAACATGTTAAACTAAAATTTATGTTACGTCCTATAAGTTAAAAAATAAATTTTTCCCGAAAACCTATCTTCTATGTTTAAATAGCAGCCCGTAGTTAAAAAACATGCTAATTTTGTGTTCGAATTTTTTTTTGTTTACTTTAAAATAAGGGTTTATTGTAGTAATGAGGCCATCGATTTTTATAAAAGTTACATGAATTTTACATTGAATATAAATTTTAACTTATTTTTAATATTTTGCCTCCTCTAAATGAGGAAAAACTAGCAGACATGTGTGATGTATAGTTGTCGAGTTAGTTACACTACAGTCTATCACGTTCGAAGTACGAGGTCGTCAAAATTACTTTTTTTGCATTTATTTTCTTAATTCTATTAAATAGGAGTCCTTTTTACATTTAAAATATACAACCAATTTTTAAAATTAAACACTATCCACAAATTTTTTTCCAAGCGTTTCTAATGATAGTGATTTTAACAAGCATATCTCATAAATTTACGCTGAACCCTTTCAAGTCTAAGAGAGTCATTGAGGTCATGCGGATGCCAAATTACGGCACCATACTCAACAATAGAGCGAACAAGTACATAATAAAGCACCTTGTATGATAGACCTAACCAAAAATCCCTACATAATCTTAACACAACCCCCAGAGTTTTAAAGGCCTTATAACAAATATTCTCAATGTGGTGTCTAGGATCAAGATCACTACTAAGAATAAATCCTAGATCAGTTACAAAGTCATTAGAACATAAAATCTCAGTGATCCGAGATGATAAACATATTTGACAGGTGACTAAAACTAAAAAATGTTTATAAACTAATGTTAAGTGAACATTTTAGTTGATTCATTTGATAACAATAACACCATTAGTATCGCAAATAGTATAGCTATTATTACCACATAGCAACAATATTTAGTTAAGTTAGGACTATGAAAAAACCCCGCTCGACCTTCAACAAAATATAATTTCCGAGCGGTACGTCACAGGATTGCCATTGTTGTCGCCCGTCAGCCCGCGAAGTATTGATATCAGATATTATATATATTGGCACATGAAATTCCAAAATTATAAATATATTTCTGTTTTGAGGAGCATACGTCATGAACAATATTAACATATAGTATGACAATTGATAAGTAAGACTTTGATTAATAAAATACTTGTTGAAGTTTGACGCTTTTGTAAGTTTTCTTAAAATATGGATCGCCATAAAATACAAAGCAATCGTCATAAAACAAAAAAGGTATTTAAAAGTGGGAATGCCAAAAGAAAAATCGCTAATGAAAAGGAAAAAAAAGAAGCAGAATTATTAGCTAATTCGCGTAGTATGACTGACTATATTACCTGCAAGAGTCATTCCCAAATAATTGATGACAGCAATGTGGTAAACACATTAGAAATAATAAAACATAATTTCTTAATTATATTGCGACTTAAACGCAAGCATTCAAATTATTTTAAGTTAAAAACAATTTTTCCAACACTTTTGCACAATTTTTGTGACAAATAAACAAATAGTTTTCAAAAATGTTACTGTGGTAAACTAGGTGTGTTTCAAGAAGAGTCAAAATAATAAATATAATGTAACGTTCATCGATTGTACACTGACCGCTGAGTCAGTGGTCAGGTTCCTGTTTATTAGGAATAATTAACAATATTACACTTTCTAATAACTATAATGTTCCTTACTTTATCTACGACATTTAAAAATTGTAACGGTGACCTATTTGATTGTAAATCTTTCAAGCAAAGTGACATAAATTATGCTAGAAAATGTCAAACAAGCTTTTTTCAACGGAAAACACGGAACGGTGAAATTATAAAACGTCCATGGCTAGTTTTTCTCCTAGTGATGGACATGTATATTGCTTTGTATGCNAAAGAATCACAACAATTTTTTTCAAATTATACAAATATTTAAAAACACTTTTCGTAGGGAACCCCTGATTAATTTTTATTAGATTCCAGAACTCTGAAAAATAAAAACCAATTATAACTACAAAAATAATTTTCAGTAGTTTTTTTTAAAGATATTATCTACAATTTTAAATTATTTTGATTAAATTTAAAAAACATTGATTTGACAAAATTAAAAGTAAATAATAATTTTTGCCGTTTTATAATTTTTTTAAATTTTACTTGTTTAAGATATAAACAAGATACATATTTTTTTAGGTTGCAGAATCTGAAAATATTGTAGAAGAAGTACCTGAAATAATTCTTCCAGTATCAGCGGATTCTTTTGAACCTTCTTTCGGTAAACATGATAACTTGAAAAATGATATTGGGATATGGCCGGAGTCTTTGACGCAAGATAATGTAGAATACTGTATAAAAATGGGATCTACGACATTTAAAAATTGTAACGGTGACCTATTTGATTGTAAATCTTTCAAGCAAAGTGACATAAATTATGCTAGAAAATGTCAAACAAGCTTTTTTCAACGGAAAACACGGAACGGTGAAATTATAAAACGTCCATGGCTAGTTTTTCTCCTAGTGATGGACATGTATATTGCTTTGTATGCAAACTTTTTTCTAAAACACGTTCACAGTTTACCCATGGTGGTTATTGTGATTGGAAAAATGCTGCAGCACGTCTGGTTGAGCATGAAACTTCTAAAAACCACTTGAATGCTACAACTCATTTTGCAGTACGATCTAAAGAAAAAGGCTGTGTTGATCAAGAGTTAGTACAACAAGCCGAAAGTGAAGCAATATACTGGCAAGAAATTCTCAAAAGGTTGATTAGTGTGATCGTATTCATTAGTGAAAGAGGCTTGGCATTTAGGGGTGAAAAACAAGTATTTGGGTCACCGAGAAATGGAAATTACCTAGGGATACTGGAGCTTATAGCAGAGTACGACGACTTTTTAGACAAACATATAAAAAACAATGGGAGCTGTGGAAGCGGTAACACTAACTACTTATCATCGACTATTTGCGAGGAAATTGTGCAACTTATTAAAAAAAAGTTTTTAATGAAGTTATCTCTCGAATCAAGCAGTAAAAATACTATTCCATATCGTTAGACTCAACTACAGACGAAGATCACGTTGATCAGCTAACTTTGATCTTTAAATATTTAGAAAACCATAACTCAATTGAAAGATTTGTTACATTCATGACTAATCAGGGTCACAATGCTTAAGATATGTTTCGAAGCTTGATTGATTTTTAAAAAATAATGACATAGATATTGAAAATTGCCGAGGACAGTCTTATGACAATGCTTCTTCAATGAGCGGAAAGTACAATAATCTTCAAACATTAGTACAAACAGAAAATCATTTAGCCATATGAGTGCCTTGTGCTGCGCACTCACTCAACCTTGTTGTTCAGGCTGCTGCAGAGTGCTATAAGTTTTTTTGACTTTTTAGAAGAATTTTATGTATACTTTACAGCCACAACTCATAGGTATAAAGTTTAAAATTAAGTCTAAAAAAGGCAATCACTGACAAACCTATTCTTGTACCAAAAATAATAACAACAACACGATGGTCATGCCGAGTAGACGCTACAAAAGCTCTCATTCAAGACTACAAAGAAATAAAAAGAGTGCTTTTTGAAATTTCAGAGAACAAAGAAGAACCTAGAAAATCACGTATTACTGCATTAAGTTTACATAAAAAATGTCCAAGAGGGAAACGGAACTCTTCACTGTTTTTTGGAACAATATCTTAGGACAACTAAATAAAACAAGTGAAAGTTTACAAAATCCCAGACTAGATGTTAATACAGCAGTCTTAGCACTGGTATTGGTTAAAAGTTTTATCAGCACGAAACGGGATAGTTTTGAAGAATATAAAGTAAAATTAGCTGCTTTAGATATTTGTAATGAGAACGAGGGTGAAACACAGCGCAAGCGTAAAGTATATGTGCGTTTGGCACCTATTTCTGTGTTCAAGCACCAACCGTTGAGTTGACCCCATCACACAAGTTTTTAACCCAAAGTATCCTTCCAGTCATTGATCAGTTTGAATATTCATTGCGGATGAGGCTTGAAGCATATAAACTTGTTGATACTCGTTTTGGGTTTCTCAACAAGTTATATAAACTTGATAATGAGGAATTAATTTTAGCAGCAGATAATTTAATAAAAATATATGACAATGAGTAAGGCGACCAATTTGGAAATTAATTGATTCAGTTTAAAGCTTTTTATCGGGAGTTTCCAAAAGATCAAAAAAAAGAATTTATTAACAAGGAAAAGTGGATGTGTTATATTCTTTTGGATAAAAAAGTCAGCAATTGTTTCCCCAACATTGAGGTTGCTCTAAGAATGTACCTCTCATTAATGGTCACGAACAGTAGTGGAGAAAGGTCATTCTCAAAGTTGAAACTGATAAAAAATCGGCTTCGGACTTCCATGCTGGATGAGAGGCTAAATATTTTAGCTCTAATGAGCATAGAAAGTGATATTTTAAGACAACTTAAATATGATGACATAATAAAAGATTTCAGTACCATTAAAGCTAAAAGAAAACCAATTGGACACTAGAGAATTTTCTTAAAAAGTTCATTTTATGTTACTTAAATCATGTAAATATAGTTACATGTATAAAATACTGATTTTTTGTTTACTTTTTACTAACTTCATCTTTTACTACTTACCTTTCTGATTATGAATTATCAATAATTTATTAATTTTAATTAAAAAAATTTATTTACAGTAGCACTCTTTTAATGGAAAGGGTGTGCAAAAAAAAAAAGGCAACCGGTTATTAATATATTAAATATATTTCTATGACCATGGTAGAGCCCGCGCCATAGGCTAGCCAAGGGCCTATACATCCTAAATACGATCCTGCCTCTCTAAAAGCTATTGTTTGTGGCAGAGAAGACGGAAAATCTGCATAGCCTATCGTCATAAAATCGAAAACCGGTATCCACGCATCGATGCGAGGCGAATTGTCGACTCTGCAATATTGATGACTGATTCATGTATCAATCATTTCTAAATAAATTTTTGTTAACTTACATAAGCTCCTGGGATTTTGTTTTTATCTCGCTTAGCTTTATTTTCTTTTAACCACTTGTTTAAATCTTCAAAAAACATATTTTTTTTATTTAACTTTTTACGTAACATTTCTGCTTGAAGTTTTTCATCTCTTAAAATTTTTATTAATGTTAATTTTTTGGACCAAAATATAATATATTAACGTACTCGTATTTAAGTTGATTTAGCCAGCAAATTTCATTATTTACATCATTCTGTTTTAGATCATGTTCTTTTTGATAACGTTCATCACGTTGAGTCAATTGATAATTCGCTATTTCGAGATTTCTGCTATGAATAAAACTAACTATGAGATTGAATAGTACTTATATTTTAATTATTCACAAATAAATGTTTTGAATCTTGTTAACTCTCATTATTTTAATTTTAATGCGACGTTACATCATAAAATTAGAAATCGTGTATAGTTATGTAAGAATTAACCATAAAAATTGAAACTTTTTTCGTCGTTCTCAGTGAATGACGGCAATTCCCACCAAAAAATTGTTATGTAAATTTGTTAATTTCGACATTTTTAAAAATACTTTACTTAAAATTATCATGAATTTTTGAAAAATATATAAATCAAAAAATAATTTTGTTTACAAATAGGGTAGGTATTATCCTATATTTAAGCATATTTTTCTAAAAATCTGACTATTGACACCTGTCTCCAAGGTGATTTAAAATAGCATCTATTGCACAGAACTTTAACTTTTTCAATTTAACTTTTGAAAATGTTCCAAAAAATTTGATTCAATTAATAGTTTTCTAATTTTTTCATTATTTGGTATATTTTTTTCAAAATAAAACCTTTACCAATAAGTAACAAAAAGTAATTTTTGCAAAAAAAGGTTACCTATAAAAATGTAAAACCTTAACCATAAAACCTTTACCAATAAGTAACAAAAAGTAATTTTTGCAAAAAAAGGTTACCTATAAAAATGTTCCGGAAATATTATGTTCTATGAACATATGTTCAATAGTAGCTTATATTACGTATTATAAATTACAAATAACAATTTGCCCTGACAATTTTCTCTGTGCAAATGTCTGTCGAATTTGAACAATTCATATATTACACTTATATATCATAAAACTTAATCAGGATATAAATGAGGAAATTTTGCTTTTGTAATAATTCACTAATATCTTAAAATTAAATATTATCTACAGATTAATATCGAAGCCTTTCTTATAATAGTGATTTTAAGCACTGTCAGATATCACCAATAATTGTCTCAATTATGCCACGTCTATACTGTTATGCGACCCACTGTGCAACAGTTTTCTTTGAAATATTCAATTATAAAAATATATACCTATGGAATAACTATTGACTAACTGTGATGTATCTCTCAAAATGTATAGACCCAACGGCGATATACTGAATGCACAAGAGTGGTGCGATAATCGCAAAGATGATATTTTTCTTTTACAACAAAACGAATACAAAACTATTGGTTCGTAAGCGCCATAGAGCTTATAGCTGAAAAGCGCTAAAATGGCGGCGACACTGCAGACATAGATAGAAGACCGACAACAACTCGATGTAGCACAACGATAGCATAAATAATCATAACATAATTTCTCGACAGCATATTGATGTGTATCTAAGAGATGATATATGGCAGTGAAAATCACTATCAAATAATTTGGATGCAAATTTGTAAATAGTCTTTAATTTTAAGAGATTGGTGGATTATTCCAAAAGCAACATCAACTCCTACTTTTTTCATTATTCCTAATTAGTCCTTCTATGATTTATAAGTAAAATATGTGAATAAATATATATTATAGCAATTAAATATTGTATGAAATTGATACTTAATAATTTAGTATCGAAATTTTTACGGTTAAATTATAAAAATTTGTAATGTAGTTGATACTTTTATGGCAAACGTGTATATAAATTGAAGGGCTTGATACAAATCTTTTCAGAAAATAATTTAATTTTAATAATGAATAAATGGATTTGTGATCTTTTGACATGTTGTTAAAAAAATTCGGTCTGGTGAAAACTGAAAAAAAGTGTGACAAATATAAAAATTAAAAACACATCATATTAAAATTAATACTTTCTCAGCTTGTATTGAAGCTATATTTGCATATAAATAGATGAGTATTATTTTTTAGCATCTAACGCTTATTCGATAATACGGGGTGAACATCAAACAAGCGATAGTTAAAACAAGATAAAAGAAACACAAATAATTGTAATAATACAAATGTATATATGTATATATGTATATTTATATTACGTATATATAATTATATGTTTATACACTTTTAAAATTAAAATTAAGTAAAATTAAAATAAGAGTCACTCCTGTTTAACAATGAAAGTGCTTTTGAAAAGCATACCGAAAATTTTGTAAAATGGTAGTTACATAGGATTTTTGATAAATAAACAATTCTCTCATTATAAAATTTATAATAGAGGAGAACAGATTTACTTACATTTTTTTTAATTTTGAAGTGCTCCAAGGTCGAATTTTGTTTGTCCCTATAATAGAATCCGACAACGGTGTTTTGTTATGAATTTTTACGTTATTAACAGTTAAACACTGTTTTTCTTTTAAATGATCATTTAAAATTTTTTGGAAATGAGCCTTTGATGCTATTTTTGCTTCTATATTTCGTTTTCTTTCTTCGTGCAAACTTAAATTATTTAATAAATATGATAGAAGGGTCATTTCATGTAAAATCACATAATGCGTGTGCGGCTATAGTTCAGAAATGTTTGAAATTTTTAAACTACTTATAGAATTTACAAAGTTTGCATGTATTATGAAAAATCCACAAACCACGTAATTTTCAACAATAAATTTTTATTTTATGTATTTACTCTGCATGAAAATAGATTCCATTTTGATCATATTACTAATAATGACTTTTGTAACATTTTCTTGATATAATATGACATTGTTAAACAGCATTTAAAACTGGTTATCTTTTTTTAAATACGACAGGATTGTCCATATAAATTTATAATTTCGTGTCACCGAGTAGTCAAGTCAATGTGTATCGTTTATTGTTGTGACTAGTAAATTGTATATTAATAAAATCAATTTCAACTATATATTTTCTCATACTCGAGTTTCAGTTGTTTTATTTAATATAATTACAATAATTTTTTATTTTTAAAAACTAACATATTAACTTTGTATTTTAATGTATTTGGTTATAATTAGTTTAATTATATAATTAGGTTTTATGTAAACATAAATAAAACTTGGTGCGGTGGCTGAGAAGGAGCTGACACGACCGCGGGGTGTCAAACGTGTAACAACGCTGTTGCTGTGTCAATATATATATATAGAATTAAATTATATTGTAGAATAAATTATAAGGAAATACGAAGGGTAAAATAGGGAGATCCAACCCAACCCGCCTCACCACTAAACCTTGATGTCATGTTTATCATGTTCAATTTGAATATCACTCTGTTATACTTCACTAATTATGCACAAATAAGAAGACGAAATTATAATATGATGAATTTTCCACGAAAGAATGTGTTTTATACCAACTTAAAATAATTGGAGAGGAGGAATACACAAATATTTGAAAAGGGAGAAGTTGACTGCAAGGTTAAATTATTATAAGTAAAAAATCAAAGGAATTACAGTTTTTATATTAGAATGAAAACGTATATATAACAACTATTGACTGGAATGATATTAAGAGTGATACTGACTGAATCACTAATTAAAATGTTGATATTAAATAGATATTTGTTATCAAATTACTTCAATAATAAACCCTTATTACACTATCCCATAACTATAACGGTTTTTTTAATAAGTGGGGGGAGGTATCAATTTGTATGTGATAAGAAACGCGCTAAAAATGTGATAAAGGAGGCGTATATGAGTATTATAATATAATAATACCTTTAATGTTGGAAACATGCTTACCTAAGCATTAGGTAGTCGAAGATAAAATTCTTAAAAAATGTTAGTTTACGATGGATTTTATCGTTCCCCCTCTCATTCCATTAGTTACTCCCCACAACACTTCCTCTATCAATACTAGTAGAATGGTGAGTGTGTGAGGCGGGGGAGCAGCTTTCTCTATTTTACCCTATTGAAATATTTAAAAAGATTATTCTATATTACACTCAAAAATACAACACATTTTATTATATTTTTTAAAATTATCTAAAATACATAATATCTGAAAAAATTATGACATTAAAATTATTTGCTTACAATGTTATAGAATATTTTATTTTCGTGTAGAATAAATTCAAAAAATTAAATATTGAAAATCATGAATTTTACGAAAGGGAAGGGATTCAATATATAAATAAATAGGTCCTATTCAACTATTGCACAGTATAATAATTAATAACTAATTAGATAAACAATAATAGTAATATGAATTGAATATAATATGTAACATAATTTCTTACCTAATTGTACAATTGATTAATCACATTGATTAAATATTTTATTGGCCAATCGGTAACAACATTTCCTTTAAACAAATTGTTTAAAACTTATAACCAGGGTTCGGGACTTCTAGCATTTGCATATTTTTTTTATTTATTGTAAAATGTAGTAGAGTGCGGAATAAATTCATTTCTCAATACCGTTATACAAAATCGAAAATTTGAATGTGCTTATTTTGCATATTTTGGAAAATTATTAAAATTTTCAAATTTACAAATGTTAACCAATCAAAAAAAGAAATAATAATGCAGTCTTATGTACTATTTGCAATATACAAGTCACAATCCCTTTTAATTTTCGTGTTGGAAAAATATCTTCATTTTTAAAAAGTATGAAGGCCCATATTGTTTGTATCGCTACATATAAGATTTGTTACGATACGGGCGATACGACAATTATATAATATAACGTATTTATAAAATGTTCTTTGAAACTAAAGGTATTCCCGGTAAATATAGTTCGGACGGCTAGCGCCGATAAGGCGATAATAGTTATTTAGGTAATAATTTCGATTATTTGTTCAGTCCGCAACGTTTATCCGTTGCCGTGAATTCACTTGCGTGCTTATTATCGCGTTACATTTTTTCATAAACATAATATAGTAAAAATGGGGAAAGTAAAACAATCCACTAGTGCGCGTTTGAGAAACTATGTGTCTGAATTTGGATCTGAAATATTATCTACTAATGGGTTTGTATTATTTTGCAAAGTTTGTGAAATAAAGATTAATTTTGAAAAAAAGTTTAACGTAAGCCAACACATTCGAACTAAAAAACACATTAAAAGTGCCAAACGCCAAAAAGATCAAGTTCAAAGGAAATCACAACAACTTTTAACCAATCAATCTACCAAATCAGATTTTAATAAGGATTTATGCGAAGCAATGGTGGCCGCGAACATACCGTTTAATAAACTTTCAAATAATATATTTCGTTCATTTTTAGAAAAATATACGGGTAAAAGTATTCCATTTGAAGCTTCCTTACGAAAAGGATATATTGACGACATCTACAACCAAGTAATGAATAAAATTTAGAGTTGAAATTGGAAAAAATCAAATTTGGGTGTCAGTTGATGAAACATGTGATGTACAAGGACGATGTGTGGCAAATGTTATTGTTGGCATTCTTAAGCCAGATTGTGTTGGTCATTCATTTCTTCTGCACTCGGAAGAGTTAGAAAAAACACATCATAATACCATTTGTGAAGTTTTTAATAAATCAATGACCATTTTATGGCCTGGAGATATTATGTACAACAACGTCTTACTATTCTTATCCGACACAGCTCCTTATATCGTGAAGGCCGGTTCAGTTCTTAAAAATTTATACACCAAAATGATACACACCACATGCAGTGCACACGCACTTCATCGGATAGCTGAAGAAATTCGTGGACAATTTAATCTTGTTGACGAGCTTATATCAAATATGAAAAAAATTTTTCGTAAAGCCCCATACCGTATTGCATTGTTTAAATAGATAGCTCCAGCAATTAGATTACCACCAGAACCTATCTTAACGCGTTGGGGGACATGGCTCGAAGCCGCAATTTATTACTGTGAAAATTTCCAAATAATATGTAGCGTAATAAATGTAGACGAAAATGATGCAGATTGTATTAAAAAAGTTAAATTATGCATACTGAAACCAGGATTGGAAAACAACTTGACTTATATCAAAAGTAATTTTCAAGTTATTACAATGGCCATTGTGAAATTACAAACGAAAAACCTTCCATTGGGTGATTCACTTTCTGTAATTCAAGAAGTAAAATCAAAATTTCAATCATTAAAAGGAACTCAAGGAAAAGCAGTACTTTTAAAATTACAAAAAGTTTTTGAAAAGAATGAAGGTCTTAAAATTCTGGAAAAAATATCAAACATTTTGGAAGAAGATGAAATTTTGGATATGAGTCAATTTCCGGAAGATTATTCATGCAACGAATTTGTGTTCTTTAAATATGCACCAACCACTTCAGTGGATGTAGAGAGGTCATTTTCAGCTTACAAAACTCTGTTATCTGACAATCGAAGAGCATTTACATTTGAAAACTTGCGGAAACATTTAATTATTCAATGTAACAACAAAGGTAAGACAATAATTAAAACAATATTATTTATTGATTGATTTAAATGAAAAATTCAATTTTTAATTTTCCTATTATTTAAAGCTAACGAATAAATTTAAAAAAATGGGAAATTTAAGAAGCAAGTGAAAAATTATTTAATTTTATTAAAATATTTTAATGTTAAACTAATTGTAATGAATAATTATTAATAAAATAATAAATATATTAAATGTATATTTTTTAATTTTTTATGCATATTTTACGGTTTTTAAGTACATATTTTAGCGCTTATTATTGTGTTTTTAAGTGCTATAAGTCCCGAACCCTGCTTATAACAAAATAATTGCCTTGACGGCTCACAAAATAATTTGTCTGGACGACTTAATAAAACACAATATTTGCCTTGACGGCTTACACTACTTAAAACACAAAAAAAAAGTTGAATAGAACAAACGAAACAATGGAGGATGGAGGAGCAGAGTACTTTTTTACTTTTTAAAAATGACAACGATAACAACGAAAAATATAACCTAATTTGATAGGACGGCGTGAGCATAGCTGCTACCGTCGCACATAGAGCGTAGCACTACCTACCCGTGCCCTAACATTTGGTTTAATTGTAATTTCCTAATATTTTGTTATAATTGTTTTATTCATTTGTAAAAAAGCGATACGACACATTACATCTATAATCTAAAGAAGAAAAAGATATTTGACGGTATGATTTTTTTGAAAAATTCTTATTTTGTCAATATCTATTGATACTGTATACCTTCAAATTTTGCTATTATAATATTGCAAAATTTAAAAAATAAAAAAATCGATGTAAAAATATTGTAATAGCTTATATTCATGTTTTAATAATAAAATCTGTACTATAAGGTAAAAAAATAATAAAAAAAAAATTATTTCTGTTTTCAATTACCTTCAAAAAGTCTATGATAAAAATTTCTGAACTATAGCCTTAACACACATTATGTGTATGTGGAAATAATACGTAAATAATGGAATGACCCAGAAATTGGTGTAAAGATTATACCTTTTCAAAAGTTCCTTTTGTAACTGTTTTTCTTTTTCTAGACTTTTTTTTAATTTAGCTTCTCTGAATTTTTTTTTTTGTTCTATTTGATCAAGCAAAGATTGTTTTAATAAATTTTTATTACTTGTACTAGTATTTACACTTTCAGGCCTCTTCAAAATACGATACGTTATTAATTAATTCATTATACTACATTTATTATATACTTTATATAACACGTAAGCTCCGTTAGTATCTGTACATTTTTCATTTTCGATTTTTATTGCCTCAGCTAACTTTTTTGCAGTTAAGTAATTATATTTTGCCGTTTCTTTTATTTGAGTTCGTTTATTTTCGATTTCCTAGAAATAAATTTAATATTATCATCGTTATAAATCATCGTTCTGAAACATTAATTACATAATTAGTAGTTTTGCCAAACGGTTGTTCTCCTTGCATAAAATTATGTCGTTTTTCAAACTCTGTTGTAATAGGATTTATGTTGTCTAGTCTTTGTTTTCTTATACAACATAAATAACACATATCTGTTTCTACAAAAAGTACTTATTCATTTAGAAAGAATAACTTTTATTATTTCTATGAGTATATGATAATATGATATAGAGTAGGGTAAAAAAAGGATTCAGTCCGATATGAAAAGTAATAGGGCGTGGCCTATGTGGAAGGAGTAGGAAATATGCGTGGTCTTTGAAGGGGAAAAGTAAGTATTTTAAACAGCGAATGCGCTATTTTAATATATGACATGCATACATTTAGATAAAGTCCGTACGTAAAATGTTAATTTTACCTAATTTGTAAAAAAACATTTTTGTTCGAAACAGACATTGTATGCCAGATGGCTTTATACATGATTATATTATTTTATACTATCGCACATGAGATTAATACAGCAGGTGGCTTAACACGACGGCGGCGATGTCGCCGTCAATTACGTCGAACGCTAATTATTAATATACGAGTTATAAGCTGAGCTATTCGTATAATAAATAATAAATCAGTACTTTTTTGTCGGCAATATATAATAACAATAAGAATAGTTCAAGTTTTCTTATTATGAGATGTTTAGCAAAACACATTCTTAAATAAAAACTTCTACCGCCAACGTCGACGACGATAATCGCTGGAACATGTATTCTAATAATTATAATATTATTATAATCCTCATAATTGTAATACTCTTATCGATTAATGTCATATATATTTTATCTGAATTATTACTCGTATTCCTCCCACAGTTATAAAATAATAATGTAATGAACTAATATAACTAAATTATAATAATTAAAACGTGTTTAAGTATAGGTATATGTATAGGTATGAATGACGTAGGCGGATAGTGTTCATTAGAGTCATTTTTCCTGTAATATAGTAATAGCTTAGTCGTATACACCTCATCCGTTATTAAGAATAAATTGCCTAACAGATGTTTGTAAGGGGGTTGCTTCAGTATAATATTGTGTGGTGATTACTAATCGGTTATGAGTATTTATTAATCTATTATGTGCATAAGATGGAGTATTTCAAAAATATATTGGATAAATTTAATTTTCTTGTTGAAAACGATCCAAGGGATAGTTTTCAAACTAGTAAGTAAATTATTGAAAAATTATTGAGATTTGCAATATTTTGCACAACGGCTTGGCAATAAAGTCAACGGTGTAGGTAGTGACTATTTACAAGGTAGTGATTTATCAGGCGAGGGAAAAAAATCGACCAATCCTAAATGTGAATGCTTAGTTGGGATTTATCAGGTGAGGGAAAAAAATCGACCAATCTTAAATGTGAATGCTCAGTTGGGATTTATCGGATGCGGGAAAAAATTCTCATGTTCAGTTGTGAAGCGAATATATTACGAGCTTTTGGATGTAATCGAAATAATTGAAAAGATGGTGAATGCGAATCGCAACGACAGTAAGCCCTATTGGATCTAGAGACTTTAATCACAATAACTACACCAAGGTGTAAATTCAATAAAATCAATGACTTGATTAATTCATCAATGTATATAATTTCAAAAATATTTCGTGTGTGCAATAGTCTAGACCCGGACGATTCATTTTGGTAAAAAGTCAAGTTGGTAAACAATCATGAGGTATTTATTATCACTGACAATTTACTACATAGAATGTACGGATATATTTCATCGATAACGGAAAATTTAAACGGAATACTACTTTACAAGAACCCAAGAAGATACATGACTGTTTCAGTCCAAACGCGATGACTGCAATGTATTTTCGATGAAAAAACTGAATTTGTGCAATTGTACTTCATTAAAAATATGTATTATGAGAAAATACATCGACAATGGCTTCATATACATCCGCGTATTTTACATGAAATGATGGTTATACTTCAGACTTCAATTGATTGATTGAGAAAACATCTCGAAAATTATATTCAGCGATTATCCACACATGAAAGTATGTTTAAAAATATTTGATTTTCATCTTAAAACAAATTTTACCGCGTGTATTACTTCTCCAACTGGTGGAATAAGCTACAAACAGATAATTTCTAGGAATAGATGCTTTACCAAAAATTGACAAGAAAGAACTCCTATGTGCGACTTTTCCAGTTCAAATACGAAGATGATCGTCATAAAATAAAAAAATTTACAATACATCTAGTTTTTTTTATTAAAAAAATTGTGTAATGTGACAAAATCCGTTTATTTTTTTCGTCTATTTGAATATATATATTTGTTTGTGCCCGTTCGAGATATTCAGTTGTGTACTACTTCAAAACGGTTTTTTTTAATATATAGGTTTTATATGGGATGATGCGTGTATTAGTATTATATAGTATTAGTACAATGTGGTGACATAGTGCATTTTATTCCGGGGTGTCCCAATATCTTGCAAGCTAAGTCTAACTGTTTAAAGCCAGTCGCTTACTTGGGACGTATACCCGCCGTGCTTAGCGGTAATGCCGTGATTAATAGTCGGTGGGTATCCGAAGATGTTCATCGTATTCTTTAATTATAATAGTGTAGGTGTAACTATTATTTTTTTTTATTAATATCTGTTTTTTTTCTTCTTTCTGTTCCCTGAAATTTGTAGATGAGGTTTTTTGCCCGTTCACTTTTTTGACTCGTATTAACTTAATTTTTTATTACTTAAAGTCCCCTTAATTTAACTTAACTATGATTTTTTTTTTGCGTGTTCCATCTTCAATGGACTCCTTTATTTTGTATTTTTTTTTCCTTTTAAAAATCAACTCCCCCTAGTTTATAAGGTACGGGCACCTTGTATAAGGTCATCACTGATCATCATGGTTATGGTTAACTGTCACGAGATTTTGGTGTACATCAACTTTCAACGACTCAACGACATCCACATCAACCTTTATTACTTTTCTATTTTTTTTTATCTTAAATTTTTTTTAATGTACGAGATTTAATTTTTTAATTTTACTGCGGTTCGTCAATTCATTGTCTCGCCCAGTGGGTTGGTTACCCTTTTTTTTGTATTTTCTAATGCGCCATGAAAGTTACAAAATTTCCGTTGTGTCCATTTAATTCAATTTTTTTTTTTTAATATTTGTAACCTTTCAATTTGTATATTTATACATTTATTTTGTTTCTTTACTATATTGTAAATTATACAATAATTAAAATACATTTGTATATATACATTAGAGTTTTCGTACTCATCCGTGAATGCGTTGTATTCCATTTGACAGTCGTGAATAATTACACAATACAATGATGTTTTATCGGGAAACTGTTTAGAGCATTCGAAATCCAAACGTAGATCAACCGTTGAAGATTTATACAAATACAAGCATTTGTTAAAACAAATTCTATGTTCTATAATTCAAATTGTATGGAACAATTCATCACTACTATGAGTCCACGTTTTTTGTAATTTAAATAATCCTGAGAAGGTATTTAAATATACGTATACGGATCTTTACGACCGTAGTACATTGTCTGGAATTGAGTTTACGAGTTATAAAACATTGTGTACTTGTTGTTGTCGAAATCGGCGTATTGGTTCTCGTACGGGTATTCGTCCGCGTTCAGATACGCTTTGACGTTTCTCGACGAACAGTGATCGAAATCTCCGAGAACGTGTTCATTCTCATTATACATTGCACATTGCAAAAACTAAATATCTGGTTTTTTCAACGTTCGAATTGGTGCGCACCGGCCATGTGTGATGAGTTGTCTGCGGTACCAACGGGTAAACGGCAACGTCCCAGTGTTAGAATTCTAACGGAAGCCATTCCTTGCTGTCCAAAATGCGCATCAGACCTAGTTCGGTTTCACACTGGGTTTAAAATACTTTACCATTCATTGAAATTCAGATCCCACGCCGGTTAACATCACCATTGTTGCCATATTGTTGTTTTCTCCGCCGCAGATTTGAGTACTCCTTAGAATTCGTACTCGTCAATTTGAAACCCGAACCCGACTTATATGGTTGCAGGTAAAAAACCTTTACCCTTATATTGCTTATATTAACTTTATATTTCCCCTTAAACTTGATGAGTTCGCTGCCTCCCATATCAAATGCAAAGCACTTTGAACAAAGTATAGCGATCTCAAGAAGGTGAAGCCACCGGTCTTGTTTGAAAACAGACCAAGCATCTTCTTCCTCGAGGTCGAGTAACAAGGGTGATCCTTGGATAGGCTAGATGCGTCAATGTGCACCAGTAAATCGGGGCTGTCGGCTAAATCCTGGTAGAAGTCGCTGATTTTGAGCTGGTTGGTTTAGGTTTATGTATGTAATATATGAAGGATTTTGAGAAAGATTAAAAATATTTCTACTATACGGTTGTTCTCATCAGTATATGTAAATCAGGCTGATTGCGTCGCCATAATGTGGTTTTAATATGTCGTAGTAGTACTTGTAAATTATCGACTTGCTAATGTCAAGCACTGCTACACAGACGTATATAGATTTGATAAACTTGACAATCTTTGTGTTCATTATGACGCGCAAACCTTTCACCGTATTTGATATAATCGTTGAAGGTTGGTTAATTTACGAGCTTGCTTATCTTATCATTGAGCGTGCATTTATCAAAGACGGTATTATTCATTAATTTAAAAAATTTAAAAAGCATTTGCCGCCTGTTTCTGCATTTCTGTGTTCAAATCAATGTAGGGTTTCAATTAAGCACTTTTTTGAAATTCTAAAACGCGTTGCACCTGTTATATACATTATATATATGTATATATATTAATATCATATCTATCAGCTTTAGGTTCGATGTATATACTTTATCGAATTGCAGTCCGTGTGCAATCGCCTGTTTCATGTTGACATAATGTACGACGTACCCTTGTTTTGGTTTCTAAGTGCCTATTACTTTGGTCCCTTTGGAACCCGGCGGTACATCGTTGACTGGCAAGTTATTGTGCTCGTTATGCAGCTCTTATGGATACGATATATCTACTTCATATTCCGTACTACCAGTATCCGAGAGCAAATGGTGGTTTGGTTGGGTTTGTTCATTCATTCATCAAGAGGATCGGCTCCTTCATTTTACCGGAAGCCACCGTACGGCAAGGACTGACTCA